TCATTCTAAACAGGAGCAAATTGTTGTCCCGAATTTACATTTAAGCACCTTTCCTTCAGCAGCCCTTCCCTCCAGGACAGCTGATGGCCGATGACGTCATGTGTGTGATGACGTCACCGGTCTCGGACAGTGGCGGTGCTGGGGGCGCGCTCGGCACGTCATCAGCGTGGTAATGCGCACGCCGAAAGGCGACCCGGTGCCACACAAATAGCCGCAGGGCCAATATTTACCGACGTTTGTCGCGCTGTGGCGCCCGGCTAGAATAAATGAAGCCGAAATTAATCCGGACCTGTTTGATCTGGCACAGCCAGGTCAAAGGTCAGCTCTGATTTCGGTCGCGACAGATAAACAGCTACCGCTGCTCGGGCGCCGGACAGAGCCGCGTTCACGAGCACATACTCGCAGCGCGAGGCAGATAAGTGGGCCGAGCCCGGGCGCACGCGGACCGCCCTGAAAGCTGGAAGCGGTCCGTAAAATTGGCGGAGTGGTGCGGAAAGAAGCCAGCTGGCGCTCGGAGAGAAGGGTGGCGAAGCGAGGGTCTGATCGAGTTTTCCTTCGCCTGAACCGTCCGCCCTTCCATTCTTAAAGGTCTATCGTCTGAGACTTTGTGCTTAAGACCAGGGCTGCGGAGTCGGAGTCGGAGTCGGAGTCGGAGTAGGTCGGAGTCGACAGTTGTGACTGGAGTCGGAGTCGGAGTCGGAGTCGATTTTAGAAACCCGAGCCGGAGTCGGAGTCGGAGTCACCGAAAATCCGTCGACTCCGCAGCCCTGCCAGGTCTGCGGAGTCGGAGTCGGGAGTTGGAGTCGGTCGGAGTCGACAATTCTGGCCGGAGTCGGAGTCGGAGTCGGAGCTGGTTTTTGAAAGCCGGAGTCGGAGTCGGAGTCGGATTCGCTGAAAATCCATCGACTCCGCAGCCCTGCTTAAGACCTCTTTCGCGATTGCCGCTCATTGAACCAAAGCTTCGCAAAATAACGCCATGGAGCTGGCAGATAAGAGATAAGATAGGTCAGGTAGATCAGGAAAGGCTTGAAACCCAAAAGTTAAATAAAAGTCTGGGAAATAAGAAAACATAATTAATGGTGAATCAGCGTTGTAATGATACACGTCTGGGTAAGGAGTGCTTGTAATCTGTCTGTACAGTTCGAGTGGTAATGCTCGTAATATAGTTAATTTATCGTTAGTGATCTGTAAATGTAACAGTTTAGAAACGATCTATAGAAGCTACGGTACGGAGAGCTTTTATCATCTGCATGAGAACAAAAGCCGTGACGTTGCTGTTTAAAATAAGGTTCGAAAATTCGCTTCAAACGCCGGTTAGATAGGTACTAACATGTCGGGCCGCTGAATATAGCCAGACTGGCTTCTCTCGCTGAGGTGCGTTATTCAGTGCCAGCATTAACTTCGTTACACCACTAATTGACGTCTACAAAGAAAGAGCATCCCTCACCTCTCACAACACTGCGAAGAGACGCCGGGCAGGCAATTATGTCGGCGGATCGGCAACAGAGCGCTTTGTTTAATCTCAAGCCCATAGGTGTAGGAACGTTTTCGAAAGTGGGGGGGCCAGGCTCCCAGAGGCACAAAACCTCACCTACCCCCAAAATCCATTTTCTCCTCGGATTTCGGCCACTTTATTTTCGCAAGCATGCTCAAATCGGTTTAAAAAAAAGGGACAAGAAAAAAAATCGACCAAAATCTCAGGGAGACTCCCGTCCAGATTTAAATCTCATGGACGCGTCCCCCTGGCCTCCGCAGCCGCGTTGGCACCAGGAGCGGATCCAGGAGAACTCCAAGGGGAGGGTCATGAATCGAAGTTGTGCCCCTACCTATAGGTACCCAAAATTAAAACCTCAACTGATTTCGGCCACTTAATTTTGGTGGTGCCCTATTTTCATTTTTTTGCGCTGGCAGGCCTGTGGTGCCCCTGGCGGGCCTGTGGTGCCCCTGCTAGGCCGCAGGTGCCCCTGGCAGGTTTGTGGTGCCCCTGGAAGGACTGTGGTGCTTCTTACGAGCCTGAAGTGCCAGCGACAGGCCCATGGTGCCTCTGCGAGGCCGGTAGTGCCCCTGCGAGGCCGTGGTGCCCCTGCTAGGCCGCTGGTGCCCCTGGGCCCTGAAAGGACTGTGGTGCTCCTGACAAGCCTGAAGTGTCCCCGACAGGCACGTGATGCCCCTGACAGTCCCAGGGTGCCCGTGCGAGGCCAGTGGGTGCCCCTGGCAAGCCTGTGGTGCCCCTGGCAGGTCTGTGGTGCCCCTGGCAGACCTGTGGTGCCCCTGCTAGGCTTCTGGTGCCCCTGACAGGCCTGTGGTGCTCCTGAAGGGACTGTGGTGCCCCTGGGCCCTGACAAGCCTGAGGTGCCCCTGACAGGTCCGTGGTGCCCTTGACAGGCCCAAGGTGCCCCTGCGAGGCCGGTGGTGTCCCTGGAAGGCCTTTGGTGCCCCTGGAAGACCTGTGGTGCCCCTAAAAGGTCTGTTGTGCCCCTGGCAGACCTGTGATGCTCTTGCTAGGCCGATGGTGCTCCTGACAGGCCGGTGGTGCCCCTGTCAGGTCTGTGGTGCCCGTGATAGGTCGGTGGTGCCCCTGGTAGGCCTGTAGTGCCCCCGGACCCCAAGGGGGCATGACCCATGTGACCCTACCTTGGATTCGCCACTGGTTGGCACCCATGCGAATTCCAGAAGCATCCAAAAACTTTTTTATTACGAGCGAGCGTGAAACGTGAGAAGTGAAAAGTCAGCAAAAGGTGTGTGTGTGTGTGTGGGAGGGGGGGGGGGGGCAGTTAACGTTGCTGGCCCCCATTCGAAAGTGGGGGACCATGGCCCCTTGCCCCCCTGTTCCTACGCCTATGCCAGTAACCGATCAACTAATGCAAGGCCGCCTAACATAAGTTGTTAGTTTACGCCGTTTACGCATTCTGCTGCGCCAGTATTGTCTCTCTTTGCAGCGCGCGCTGCCCCTAAGCTGCCACTTATTGCTTCTAGCAAAATTTCCTTTCATTGGGTGGAGGAAAATTGCACTCAATAACGATGAAGCACAAATGGAAATCGTCATGGAAGGGCAGGCCGGAGAACCGTCAAGTTTGTTCTTTGGGGTGGTACCTACAAAAACATTAATGTTCGGCAAAAAGTGGGGGGGGCCAGTTAACATTACTGGCCCCCCACTATGAAAAGTGGGGGGGCCACCGGCCCCCCCGTCCCCCCCGTTCCTACACCTATGTCAAGCACGCATTAAGCTTTTAAACATTTTAACACCAACACTGCTATGAAACGTCACACATAATTAACAACTTTTACGTTGTTTTCAGCGGGTTGGCTAGTTTAATTAAGCCAGAATCCTTCAAACTTTTCATGCGCGGCGCCCCTCTAGGAACCACTTGTGACTCCACTGTATCTGTAGACAAATATGGTCAGTTTTGAAGGACGGTGGACGGTCTAAGGACACTGCCCGGCAGCGTAGATGGCGAGTGTTGTACGGTCACGAGCCTCAGAAATGTCCTCGTTACCGCAAATGTCTCTCATAAATAGCGCGCGTCAACAAACAGATGACGGCGCTCGCCGGGCGGCGCATAGATACTACACGACTCGGCCCAAGCGGCGGGAGAGTTGGAAATAGTTGTTGACTTTAACGTCTATGTTAAAGTTCTGCAAACATTCGCGGCAGTAAAATTTTGCACTGACGAAAACATGTTCCTGTCTTAGCTGGAAATACTAATACAGGTGCGCATCTAACTATATCATCCTATTGCTGCAGTGTTCTTGTTCTTCTCTTATGAAATCCCTTGCAATATTATGTAACGTTTTAAACAACTTCTACGGTAGTCTTCAAATCACTAAGTTTCCGATAGATGGTCTGGTTCGTTAAAGGTGTGATTTTATTTATTTTGTCGTGTATGACGGGGCCTGCACTCGAGTCAGATTTTGATGGTGCTGACCCAGGGCATAAAACAAACGAGTACGTTATTACGACGAGGTCGAGGTAGGTAAAATAACTTCGTTACCATCTGTCAGCGTGAAGCGGTGAAAAAGCGAATCCTTGCATCAGCAGCACGCTGCTTTACACGTGTCAAATTGGGTTTCCATGGAGACGTCAACAAGCCTATTCCTCCAACACTACCAGAAGTGTGACGTCAGCTCGCGAAATGGAATAGCAGCGTGCTGCTATCACCGGTGAAACAGGGCCCCGGGTGGAATTCCCCACTCCCCAGGCCCTATCGTAAGTATGACGTCACAGGGATGACGTAACATGATAAGGAGGAAACTTTGAACAAAATTAGAACAGATTCTAATGATGTCATAAGACTTACCAGGCTCTCTATTTGTTTTACGCTTTCAATCTCTGCAAAGAGTTATTTTTTCAAATTTGTTACAACTAAAAATGATAATATTTGAATGGTAACAAAGTTGTTATTAACACAAAACCCCAAAACTAATTTTGGAAAGGTTGTCTTATTTTGGTAAACGAAAAGTCTTTTGCAGGTATTTGATGTGATGCATGTATTGTGTATTTTACATCAAAGTATTGGTTTCCTGCCAATTAATTTATACCAAAAGTGGTGCTTTCACCCTCCACCTAGTTTGTTTTGCTTATCTTGTTGGAAACAAGCTCCTTCAGCCTAAAAGGGTCACTGCGGAGATGTCAGATAATAGGATAGATGTATGTAGGCATTATACTGTGCAGACCACCTATAAGGTGCGCCGCGGCGGCAGCGACTGTCGCGGCTGGAAGAGAACGTCTCGAATCCCGATGGGACAGCCCGCCCTGCCGCTCCAACGGTCACCCCGGAGAGGGTGTAGTCCGACAAGGACCGGCCCTCGCCACCAAGTTGTCCGGAGGGGGGGGGGGGACCACCAGCTCGGGAGAGGAAGCATGAGATGCAAATAGGTCAAGCAGATGATGACGCCTGAGGATACTATTTATAGCAACTACTCCTACCCTCCTAGCGGTACCCCACCCACCTATGCAAGTTAGATATGTAAACGTATGCAGAGCGCACACAGCGACCCACCGATGGTAGTGATAACGGTGACAGAGTAGAGCAGTGCCGAGCTGAAGGACCACTCCACCACCTCCACGCGCCCGGTGGAGCGCTGCGACGTCACCACGCCGATGATGCTCTCCTCGAGCTGCTGCAGCTTCGGCAGCGTCAGCTCGGTCCAGTTGGGCTTCCGCAGCACGGGCAGGATCGACTGGTTCACTGCCGGACACACAGATGGCAGCACGGTCGGCACAGTGGGCAGCCGGACATAGACAGCCGACTAGGGCTGGAAATCGTAACTGTGGCTCGAGTCCACCTACCATAAAGAGTTATCGTCAAACATCTTTTTAATATTTCTAGCTGTTTAGCGTTAGCGAATGTACCTGAAAAGCTATGATTTTTTTTTATAGAACTATTGTCCCAATGGGTGAATTGCTGGCTTTGGGCCCCGGTGCCACGCTAAGCGGAACCTGTTGCGAATGACATCACAGAGCCACCAACACCCCGGTGTCCAGGGTCGCACCAGCCGGCTGAAGTTTGTGGCTCAATGCCTCTCTTGTAATCTCAACCCATCTCCCTGCTTCCATTCCAATATCTCCCCTTGCCATCTCATCCTATGGCTCTGCAATGGTCTTATTTGACCAAAAGGTAACTCACCCTGCAACAAAGCAAATGGAATGTTGACAGATCGTCGAACAAGGACTTTGCGTGAGGAAGAGCTTAAAAATTATTTGGTCTCAATATTCAGGAAATTATTTGCAGAGCCAATGGTTTTACATGTGATAAGTATTGCCTTTATGCTATGTACATATGATGAAATCGCGAGATTAGCGTAGGATCTAGGAAAAAGAGGCTGCGACAGAATCTGAGGTATATGAGAGAAATTAGTTCGCCTCTTGCCAGCGTGGCACAGACCATGGAATTATCTGATGTATGCACATATTCTGCGGGAAATCTCATCGCCATTTATCACGGGACCATTATGGATATTGCGGGCAGCCAACGCTGTCGTTAATCATGTTTTATAAATCAAAGGGAAAATATAATATGGTTTATCTATGATGAAGGCAAAACACTACGCTAACTTAGCACCTGCTCTCTTACATAGATGTTTGCCGCATTGCAGATATTCTCTGGTCTATTTTCGAAAAAAGTAACCATTTGAAATACGGTAAGAATGTTATGATTTGCGTCGCATAATTACTATTTTACTTTTTATATTGGGTCACTTATCGTTATCAGTTTTCCAACAGAGAAAGTCCAAAACATGCGAGCCTTTCTCCAACTGTGGTCATTCTACCGCACGCTTTTATACATGTGTTTCTTTGCAGAGGCTCAGACGGGACAGCTAGGATGTTCCAAACAGTAACTGGCTCCAGAACGTTAGCGACACCATATCATAATGGCCCCAACACTCAGCGACTGCTTTAGTGACGCCAATCAAATATTCTATGGGCTGTGCCACTGCCAAATGACATAAGCTGATTCGAGACACCTTTCGCAATGCATATACATTCACTTGGCAAAATTTAGCTCTTATAATGTTAACAATTTTCACACCTAATCCACAGATGATCTTGCCGCGAAAAAAAAACACAAAATAACTCTTGCAAAATCAATCTAATCGTTGGGACATTTCATGATGCCGCTCGGCATTGCGGCGGCCGTTTTTCCGTCGCTCCAAAGCTCCCGAACCATGGTCTATGATGGGGTGACTTGGACACAGAGCCATCGAGTCGCGGCGCTGGGGAGCGCTTTCTGATCAGGCTGTGCCGTTGATGGCCCTCGTAAGGCCATCACACGCCGGCGCTGTCCCATCCAGCCAGATGACTGATGGCTATGAGATTATACTCAACCGTCTCATGGTAGGGCTTGTCGGACTCACATCTGTGAGGCTTTTTGGCAGAGGATGACGGAGTTGGAAAAAACTGCGTAGAGCCGTATACCTTCCGGTCACGTCTCTGTGAAGTACAAATATTAAAATTATATTTGTCGTTGAGAAGTAAGCCAGGTTCACATGAGAGACCGAATATGAAATGTTGATTTGAAACCTTACCATCATTATTACCATCATTACCATCATAGGCACCATACCATCATTATTTGAGGTGTCAAAGTTAGTGACATATACTCGTATTGATCTTTGAGACAATATCGGTATTGTATTTTCATGTTTTGGCTATTTCCATATCAGGGTAGCTTTCATCCACTGCCACTTTCAGTAGCTAAAAGCCAGTCACGGAAGTCTCAACTTTTGATGCCTATCTTGCGTCTCATACAATAAGCATTAATATTTGCTGGAGACGGAAATGATCTAAATAAGCGGCTCGTCAGCTATTCCGCACCAAAGTATTAGGTCAAAGGATGGTGAAGTGGCGTGGAAACTGACTGGGCGCTTGGCGGCATTGCGGCACAGTCTAATTATCAGGCGCTCGGTGGTATTGCGGCACAGTCTGGTCGTCAGGCGCTCAGCGGTATTGCGGCACAGTCTAATTATCAGGCGCTCGGTGGTATTGCGGCACAGTCTGGTCGTCAGGCGCTCGGTGGCATTGCGGCACAGTCTAATTATCAGGCGCTCGGTGGTATTGCGGCACAGTCTGGTCGTCAGGCGCTCGGTTGCTTAGTGCTTATATGATTGCTTAGAAATGCTGTGACAAATTGTTGAGCACATGATTCCGAAGGTGATCGGTGAAGTAGATAAGTGATGAAAAATTGAGCCTCAAATGGAGTCTTGAAAACCACATCGACGGCTAATACATCAGCACTTGTGATAGCTGTTCAGGAGTGACCGAAAAAGTATAGGACACAAAAGGTAGTTGTTTAGGAGATGGTCCGATATTTAATCGATAGAAGGCCCATTTTTAAAGCAAACTGATTCTTTTTATTCCATTTAATCATTATGATGTTTCAACCATAATTGACCAACCCTAAGGCGAAAAGAAAAGAAAACTTTTACTTGATAGCTGAAACACAAAACAGGTCATTTTTAACATTGGTATATTCATGCCTACACATTTTCAATTGTGTTTATTGACCTTCAGTCAATTCAGTCACATACCTAAAGGTTGTTGCCCTTCTCATTGTCTATGCATATCTCTCTCCTTCTCTTTCTCTCTTTCTCTCTCTCTCTCTCCCTTCCTCTCTCTCTCTCTCTCTCTCTCTCTCTCTCTCTCTCTCTCTCTCTCTCCCTCTCTCTCCCTCTCCCTCTCTTCCACGCCTGTTGTCTCTGCAATCCGCAGTCAGCTGTCAGCTGAGTCGGTTTCGCTCTGATTGCCGCCGACATCGGCGGACGCTGCAGCGCTGCCATATTGGACGCCCACTGACAAATGTTTATGCCCCGAGGGTGTGTCGGCTACCACCAACCGTCGCTCGGCGCCGTCACAAAGTCCGCACACAATCCGACAAAGAAATGCGTACACTCAACTTTCAATTTAAATACAAACTGAAATGAGCCTGGGAGCAAGAGGAAGGTGATTGGCAGAATGAAGAAGGGGTAGGTGAATGAAGAAGGCAACGAAGGAGAGAGCCAGAGAGGTGCAAGAAGAGAAAAGACTGCGATACGGAGAGAGAGAGAGAGAGAGAGAGAGAGAGAGAGAGAGAGAGAGAGAGAGAGAGAGAGGGAGAGAGAGAGAGAGAGAAATAGAGAGAGAGAAAAAGAGAGAGAGAGAAGAGAGAGAGAGAGAGAGAGAGAGAGAGAGAAAGAGAGAGAGAGAGCGAGAGAGAGAGCGAGAGAGAGAGCGAGAGAGAGAGAGAGAGAGAGAGAAACAATGTAAAAGAAATGTGGAACTGAAAATTAAGGCAGCTTAGACGGGCGGAAGGATATGAGATATGGCTGTCGATAGAGTGGTACTGTGTGATCGGAGTGACGTATAAGGGGCTGCTGAAAGTGACTGGTAGATGAAAACGGCCACAAATATCAAAACTACGTGGGTAATGAATTCCGACACCGACATCCGATGCCGTTGAGTTTGATTGTCGATGATGCTGAAATGTGGCAGATAACTCATTCATTGACAGTGAAGAATGAATTATCAGTCTCCAGCAGCCCGACTGTGCATTTTGACAGACTGGGGTCGTTTTGTGTAAGTTTCAGATTCACGACGACATGGCAATGTTGGATGTGTTGATTGTGGATGACTTTGGAATAGTTATGGTTTCCTCAAACAGATCAAATCGGCCTCCTGACTAAGCTAACTTATTCCATCAAACGGCATAGAAAACCCTTTCGTTTGCTGTTTTATGAAGGGGCCGCACTATCTCTTATGCTGTCTGCACGTGCCTCGGATGAATGTTTTCATTGATATCAACATCATACATATATAAATATTCGATAGAGGACTCCAAGAATTATGATATTGCTATTGGCAATACATTTCATGACTGGGCGTTTCACTATTTGTGTCCAAAATTAGCATATGCATTTCGTGTGGGCTGACAAATGCGCCAATGAATCTCGTGAAGCGCGGCCTCCAGGCATCTTGGGGAACATGCAGTGGCTAATAATGCTCAGGGAGATATACATGCACCAAGCCATATAACGATGTGGCTACTAATTCTGCAGACAAGTTAATCCAATGGGACCACATTCACAGCGCCTTTGCGCAATGCTTCTGTTTAGTTAGCGAGTTTGATCACGTAATGCATCGACCACCATAAGTCGCTTATCTTTCTTCACCTTGTATTTCTATTTGCATAGATAGTCACCATGTCGTTGTGAGTTGCAGGCTGATGGCAACATCGGAAAAGTGTGGGACGAGCATTTCCATGGCATGAGAAATCAATATAATATGTAATTATGAAGTTTATGTATGTACAGGGTGTCCCATAAGTTCGTTCTCACCTAAATTTTACGTTTTTAGGCTCTCTTGCTTAAAGGCACGCTGAAATTGGTTCGTTACTGGGCTGACGTGGTTGCCATGGCTGGTAGAAATATGCTCCATAGTAACTAATTTCTGTAGACAAAATAGTTTTTGCTAGAGAACCCGTTTCCTACACAGACGGCTAACGCCGCAACATAGAGGTCTCCAATACGGGTACGTCTCGGTATTTAGTCAGCACGTGACCATTCGCGACGATTGAGGGTGATTGAGGCCTACCAGTCTGTAGACAATGTCCATCGCTAACTGGACGCACAGTCAGCAAGTGACACCGATGATTTGTCGGGAGTCAATCATTGCAAGTTTATCCTCTTTTTTTGTCAGCTCTCAGGAGTGAGCCAT